GGGTAGCTGCGCTTGAAGGTCTTGGCGTCGCCCCCGCCGCCCGCGCGACTGCGGCCCAGGGTGGACGGCGCGTACGCCATGGGGCTCACGCACGGGTTCATGGCGGCCGCGTAGGGCCCCAGGCCGTTCATGGAGGCCGCGGGCTGCGCGCCCATAGCGCCCATGCCGCCCGGGCTCAGCGCCGTGCCCATGGCCGTCACGCCCGCCGCCGTCATGCTGTTCATGGCGCCCGCCGAGCCCCCCGGCATGCCGGCCACCGCGCCCGGGCTCAGGCCGGCGCCCAGGCCCGGGTTGGCGTAGGACATGTTGAAGGAAGCCGGAGTCATGTTGCCGCTCGTGGTCATGGTGTTCATGGTCATGTAGGTGTTCATGGAGTTCATGGCGCCCAGGCCCGAGTTCATGTTGCTGACCGGGACGGAGGAGTAGGCCTGGAGCGGAGACAGCGGGGGAAGAGGCCCGGAGGGCGGGGTTAGCGGGGGGCGCGGGAGGGCGGCCGGCCGGGCGAGGCTGGCGGTTCATTTCTGGGGAGCATTTCTGCCGCGCGCGCGCGCGCGGGGCGCCGCCACCCGGGGCCGCAGCGAGGCGCCCTCCCCCGGCGGAGCAAAGGCGTCTCGCGCGGCAGGGGGAAAGCCCAGCGCCGCAGGTGTGAAAGAGAAGCGCTCGCAGAAAATATGTCCCCGGGAAGACGCATAATCGCCTTCCACGCCAGGCTCCGGGGCCGGCTTCCAGGGCCCCTTCCTCGCCGCTGGCATCCCCGCCGGGCGGCCTCCCCAGCCTCCACCCCAGCCAGCCTCGGCGAAGCGCCCTTTTGGACAAGTCGTCTTCAAGACGCCGGAAAGAGAATTAATCTCTGACCCCCTGCTCGTTCACCTCTCCCTGAAGGTGCAGTGGGTTGCGCGGCGCAGGCCCGCTGGGTAGGCCGCGGGTGTGAGCTCCGAGCCCAGCTCGCCTGAGCGCCCGGGCCCGGCTGGTTTCGGCTGTTCCAGGGGGATGTTAATGATGCCCCTCGCAACTCCCCATACAGCAAACACGTCCACGGCCCCAGACCCCTGACTCATTCACTGCCCAACAACTGGCTTTATTGTCTTAGGAGTTTTTGCCCAGCGGTGGATGCTTTTTTGGGTGATTATATTTAGAAGTAGTGTTTTCCACCTACTTGTAGCGATGGCGATGTTAAAAGGGAAGCAAACTCATAAGTTAAGAGAGTTTGGGGAGAATAAAACTAAAAGCAGATCGATAACAGAAAGGGCTGGGAGGGGTGCATAATAATGTCAATGCGCTAGATACATTTAACCTTAACACTTGACATGGACACATCTGCAAGCCAGTCAATAACGTGTTTTGGTTTTTTTTTAAACCTATTTACAGACCCCTAGCGTCAGAACATTTTGGTGACACTATTTATCAAAATGACCATCTATTATTACTATTTTTTAACGTGATGGTGTGTTGCTGCTGATAATTTCAAAGCTTGGCCTTTGAATGATTTAAAATTCCAAAATCAAACTACATTATTTTCTCTTAACGCTCTGCAACTTCCTAATTCTCAGCTTTAACATATAAGAAAGCTCTTTCGTGAGGGCTCTAAATGATGTTGGGTCGAGATGACTGCTCAGAATTAAATCTCTGTAAAAGCTCTGAGACCCTTTCCCCTCATCCGTAGCAATCTGGTAATGCATTAGGTAAAGTATTTTAAAAATACAGAGCCCCGGCCTATTAAAAACGCATTCTCTGATCATTTAATAGAGAATTATGATGTCTTTACATTGATTTTCATCAGCAAATATGATTCCACTTGAAAACATGAGGCAGACAAATTGGTGTAAATAGGAACACCCTATAGCTACCAGGCAAGTCAACTCAGAGGTAAATTTGTGAATCTATACTTTAAAATAAATGAGTTACCATGGAAATATTGCCTGATTCTGTATTTTTTTCTGTCCACGTCTTAAAGTGTGTGTGTGTGGGTATGTATGTGTGTGTGCGTGTGTATCAGGCAAATAATATATATACATATACACACACACACTTTTTTTTTTTACTTCGGAGTTTGTTTTCTTTCCCTCTTTCCAAGATTATCCAAGGCAGTTTCAATAAGCGTCTTCCATCAAGGTCATTAAACTTTTGGGGGAAAGCGCCAGCTGTTTCCAGAAAAACACTTTGCATAGGTGGTAGTCCTGCCTGTACCCGGTTTTCCTCGTCCTCCTTTTGTGCACATTGTAAAAGAAAACCCCGTGGACGTGCCACCAAGGGGACAATGAAGAGACCCAGGTCCTCGGCCCCGACTTCTGCAAGAAGATTCCGGTCGCACCAGCGCCACCCGGCGGCTCCGGAGAAGCATGGGCACACCTCTCCCCAAACAGAGCTTTTGAAGAACAAGTTTTATACAATGGGGAGACCGCCTCATTCTAAGACACCCAACTCAGCGACGGAGCGCTCTCCCCAGAAGACGCCTGCGAACTCGGCGGCGGGGCC